TCACAGAAGTTATGTATATACTAGGAATTAATCTTTGTCAGTTATAGGTCAGTAAATCTCTTCTCCTACTCTATGAAAACTTACATATTGTGAGACTATAAACTGATAACTATTCATTGAGCAATTTAGTAAGAACCAGTAAAGAGGAAGGTGCAGATGCTTGAAGTCCCAGCCATCCCACCTCTAGACTTCCATCCTGGAGAAGCTGTCATACATGAGAACAAAGATATACTTACAAGGTTATTCATTACAGTATAATTTTTAATAGCAAAACATTGAAATCAGTGATGGCCTTCATGATCGCGGTAACCTTTCCCACCTCACTTCCCATCCTTCCCTATTTCCTCATGAGTTCTATATACTCATTTATTCATTAGCTGCCTTACCCAACATTATAAAGCACCTGCTCTGAACTAGACACCATACTTATAGGCAGGCAATCATGCTTAACTACTTGCAGTTGTCCTGCTAAAACAGTCTCCTACCACCTACAGGAGATTTTTCCTGTCCTTCCTCTGGGTCTTGCTGCAACCTTCTATAAAGTACTTATCAGTTCTCCATTGTCCTTTTTATTCAACTACCTAACAATCAAATAAGTGGAGGCAGTCCCAAATTACACAATTATTGAGTCTCAGAACAAAGGAGAATTCTGTTTTTATTAGATCCCATCCAACAATTACCAAAAAATGAAATAAAATTTATTTTCCAAGCCAACATTTAGTACCAGAACACTATTTTCAAGAGGCTGCCTTAAATACCATATGATCTCATTTATACCTGGAATCCTAAAAAAAAAAAAAAAGTGTTCATAGATACAGAAAACAGATTGGTGGCTGTCAAAGGCAGGAGGTGGGGAGTGGACAAAATGGGTTGAAGGAGGCAAAAGGCACAAACTTCCAGTTATAAAATAAATAAATTATAGGAATATAATGTATAGCACAGCAACTACAGTTAATAACACTGTATTGCATATATGAAAGTGATTAAGAAAGTAGATCTTAAAAGCTCTCACCACAAGAAAACAAATTCTGTAACGACGTATGGTGACAGATCTTAACTAGGCTTCTCGTGATGATCATTTCACAATATATACAAATACCAAATCATTTTATTGTACACCTGAAACCTAATATAATGTCGTATGTCACTGATACCAAAAAAGGGAGTTGTCTCGATCAACATGGTATCCCCACACTTAGATCATTGCCTGACACATGATAGTCACTCAATAAATATTTGGTAAGTAAAGACTAAAAAGCCTCAACAATATTATCTGAGAAAAAAACGCTGTTTAAAAGTGAACACAGTGATTTATTTTCGTAGATGATTTATTACTGAATAAAGTAAGCTGTTAGCTTTCTTATATAAAACATTCTATTTATTCATTTAGTTATTTATTTGGTGAACTAGCCTCACAAAGTCCTACCCAAATACTTTTAGGACATGAATTTCTTCCCTATGCAAGGCTGCCAAAGATTCAAAGTCAACCATTTTCTTCTCTGTGTTACTAATGAAGGAAAATTCCTACATTAACAAACAAATGTCTGAAATCATATATCTGTTAGATATATAACATTTTATATACAAAATATGCATGGAGGCAAAAATAGATAAAAGTATGCCTACTACCTAAAAATATCACTCCTGTTAAAGACTGAGGAATGAAATTAAATACACACTTTCTCATTCACACACACACACACACACACACACACTATTTATTTGTTAAAAAGTTATTTGCATACTTTGAGTTGAGAAAATTTTATGCCATAAATGGCATAATAAATCTACTGGGTATTGGGCCTCATTTGTGCTATTTTCTATATTATTATTCCACTGCATAATATAATTATGAATATTTATATAAAAAGCAAGATACAAAGATATAAGCCCTCTGAGTTATTAAATGCAAGAGGGTAAAAATGGCTTACTAATTTATCCTCCCAACTAATTCTATTTAAAGAGGAAAACAAGCTTTATGTAATAAGGCTGGAAAATCAATAATCGCCAATTGGAAAAACCTAGAAAGTAATAGGACTTAAATTTCTACCTCTAGACTTATGAATCATTTTGATTCAAATAGACTACCGATTTTATTTTTTAGGATTAAATTCAGGTTAATTCCAAATGGCAGTTCCTATTCCCAACAAATAGTATAACAATAATAAACTGGTATGATATTTGTTGCAGTAACTAAAAGACACAAAGGGGGAGTTTTAATGAATGAATTATTAAGTCTTCTAGACACAGAGAGGCTTGGAACTCATGCTAGTAAAAAACAGAAAGTATCAGTGATCAAATTTGATGTCAACTCTATCCACTATTTGTGATTCTGAAACACAGAAAAATCTCACAGTAAAGAGCCTCTCAGAGTATGACTAGCCTGATATATCAAAAAAAAAAAATTCTTATAATGAATTATACAAAACTGTACCAAAAATACTAACAGAAATCTAAAAATTAGTTTAATATAGTTTTATGGAATACACTATTGAAAATAATGAATTATGGGGCGCCTGGGTGGCTCATTCGTTAAGGGTCTGCCTTCGGCTCAGGTCATGATCCCAGGGTCCTGGGACTGAGCCCCGCATCGGGCTCCCTGCTCGGCGGGAAGCCTGCTTCTCCCTCTCCCACTCCCCCTGCTTGTGTTCCCTCTCTCACTGTGTCTCTGTCTGTCAAATAAATAAATTTAAAAAAAAAATCTTAAAAAAAAAAAGAACGAATTATGGTAGCTTTGATTTGGAGAGGATCTTACATATTATCCACTGACAATCTAAATCCCTCAATGAAGGACAAAGAAACTGAAACCCAGAGAAATTAGGTGTGTCACCAATCATCAAACAAAATGTTAAGTGTCAGTGCCAAGATCAGAACCCAGGTCTTAAGGCTTCAGCCCAGTGCTCTTTTACTTCAATCACAGTAAATGAGAAAAACAAAGGTATTCATTAAAGCCCTTCATGTTGGAATTTAAGGTACTCTGCTCTCTTCTAATACGCATTTACCCATCCAAATATAGCTCTGTTTTCATCTGTCCTTTCTTAACTGCCTCACAATCTCAGAAGTCGAGATCCTCCTCCTTTAGCTCAATATTAATCTTTTCAACTATCTTCTGGAATCCACCCCTCCCCATCTCTCAAGAATCTTGCTCCATCAATCGTTACTTTTACTCCTCTATTTTCAGCCATTCTAAATGACAGTTCACAGGGCAGCTGGCTTTCCTCAGAACAAGCAAGTGAGAAACAGTACCCAAGACAGAAGCCATAGTCTTTTGTAATGTCAACTTAAAAGGAACATCCCATCATTTTTGCCTCATTTTATTTGTTAAAAGCAAGTCAGCAAGTACAGACTACACTCAAGGAAAGGGAATTACACATGGGTGGGACTACCAGAAGGCTGGAGTCCAAGAAGCCATCTTAGAGGCTGCCTGCTACAGCTTCAAAGAAGAAAAGCAGAAAAGATGACTTGATAGCCAGATACCAGGGGTATCAGGACTTCTTGTGAAGCAGGAATTAAGAAAATGTGATAGTGGCACAAGGATAGATATATTGACTAATGGAATATAAAGAGAGCTCAGAAGCAAGTCAGTGCACAGATGGAGCTTTGGAAAATGACAGAGGTGATATGTCACATAATGAGGAAAGAGGAGACTATTCAGCAAATGGAAGTAGAAAAAAATGATTATCCACATGAAAACAAGGTCCCTAACCTTCTTCTCACACCATGAAAAAAAAAAAATAACTTTAAAACTCTTAGTGAAAATAAGTTTTCCTTAGACCTTTTGATAGGAAATACTTCTTAACCTAGACACAAAGACATTGATTATAAAAATGTATAGATATGATTATATTCAAATTAAAAACTATTATTCATCAAAAAGTACTTGAAAACAGATTTAAGAACTGGGAAACACAACCAAAAGGATTATTGTCAAGAATATATAAAGAACTCCTACAAGTCAATGAGAAAACTGCAAACAATCCAACAGGCAAAGGATATGAATAGAAATTTCTCAAGAGAGGAAACGATAAATATATAAAGAAATGTTCAATATATCAGAGATCAGAAAAATACAAATTAAGACCACCATGAGATAACCTATTCAACTGACAAAAATTTTAAAGTCTTACAGTACTAAATGTCAGAGACAATACAACTTCAAGAGATCTTGTTTACACTGCAAGTGGAAAGTAAAGTGAGGCAACCACTTTGGAAAATAGTTTGAAATTATCCCCTCAAGTCAAACATTAGCAATTCTCCATCAACAGGAAAGCAGATGTGAAAACTAGGGTACAATCACGCGATGGAATATGATATGGCAGCCAAAACCAAATACACAATGGACTAACCTCAGCAATATAATACTGAGTGTATAGAGTCAGTGTCAAAGGATTATATGCTCTTTATAAAGTTAAAAAGATCTAAAATTAAACAATTCCAATGAATATGGACAGTGGAAGCAAAGGAGGGGACCCATATAGTTAGATATAAGTTACTGCCAAGAATCTAGTTGTGTTTTGTGAGGTTGATTTGTAGAATGTGTCATGAAATAAAGATATGTTTAATCCAATTCTGTGTAGCGAAGATTTTTTTAAAAAGATCCCATGAACTGCATGACACTTTCTTTGATTTCAACTTGCATATGAAGCACACTCTTCACCACTATCTATAGCAAATATAATTTGTATCAATTATTATGGTACATCTTAAAATACCTGTGTTTCAAGTACAATGGTCTTGCCTCCTTATAAGAATGAAAACATTTTCTGTTTCCTTGATGTAGTATTTCTATCATATCTATTCCTTCTCTGAAAAGAATACTGACAATACAGTAAGTGCTAAATACTTGTTAAATGCTCATATTTAACTTATTCCTCAAATAACCAAGAGTAAAGCTATGATCCCTGTACCCTATATTCCTTTAAAAATATATTACTGCCCCGAATTAAATGATCCCCAGTGGAAAGGAAGTAACATGTTGAAGACCAAAATCACGTGCCCACCTGTTATGGCTGAGGGAAGCCCTGATGGGTGTAGGCACCACCGTCTGTAACCCTTCTCCTTCTATCTCTGTACCGACAAGGCAGATGAGCTGGAGATCTGGTAATCCAACACAATTTACTTCATGCCAACTTTTACCTAAAAGTGCATCATTGAATGGACAATGTTTATCAAAATAAAAGATAAAATTCTAAATTTCTACCGAATACTCCGCTGAGCAAACATCACCCAGAATATTATCTTCTCTTCACTTTCCTAGTATTTTCTGTTACCCAGTAATTCCCAAGGTAAATGAAGAAATTACAAAATGGACAAAATTAACAGAAAATGCTTAAGATACCATATCCCAACCCAACTCCCCATCCCCCCACCATAGCCCCAACAACAGAACAATAAAATAAACAACTTACTCTCCATGAGGTCCAGGTAAACCAAGAATGCTATGTAAACTTGGCTGGCATCTCCTATATCTAATTCCATCATTTCTAAATACTGGAAATCAAAATGTAATTGTCAGAGAAGGAAGAATCTCTTAATATTTTCTTTCACTCAATCAACAACTACTCATTAAATATATATATATATGTGTGTGTGTAGAAGACTTCTCTTCTAGGTACTGTGGGAGTTAGAAAGCAATTAATACCTGATCCCCATCTCTAAAAACATGAGACAACAAGTCAGAGGAGCTCTACTAGGATGGCTTGGTTGGTCAATGTTTTATGGCAGAGGTGGATACAGATTGGGCCCTGAACGGCAGATATGATTTGAGTAAATACAGAAGGCTGGGTAACAGTGTGAGTAATCACACATAGGTGGGAATACACACATATTCAAGGACCTATAAAGAAATCTATCTGCCAGGAGTACAGACATATTTTAATAGGATTTCTACTGCAGCACATTACTGAGAGCCACTATTTCCAAGGTCTCTGTTTGCCTGTGAAGAAAGTCCGCTAAAAAACTACTCCCGACTTCTTTCAGACTTGCTGGTCAGCACTGGAGTACATTCTTCAGTGGACTACCTCTGCAAGGGAAGCCTGAGGTTTTCCAGCTATCCCAGTGACTCAGTGGGTAAGCAGGCCTAATGCAGAGGTGAGGCATTAGCAGACCTGCATGGGTACAGACCTGCGGTCATATTCTCCCACTAGCTTCATCATTAAGTATGGACAGGTGCAGGAGAACGGGGTATTATTAGTTGTAGTGTGAAGAGGTTCACACTACAAATGTGTTTGAAAATGACACTGAAAGTAATTGGTAACTGGAGACCAGGTTGCAAGGTCTTGATAGTCAAGCTGAAAGTCTGAATTTTACCCATAAAGAAACACTGAGGATTTCTAAGCATGAGAATAATGAAATTAATGTTGCATACTATATATGTTATATTTTATATATATATATATACATTATATAGTGCTTACTATATGTCAAATGTTTTACAAATATTAACTGATTTAATCCTGTAACAACCCTCTAAGGTAGGTACTATTATTATCCCTATTTTACAGATGAGGAAACTGAGGAACAAAGAGATTTTTTTAAACTTCCAAAAAAAAAAAAGAACAACCCACAAAGCTAGTGACCTAACAGGGTTGTCAAACTCAAGCAGTCTACTTAAAGTCTCACGCAGAACTATTGGGTTCAGGCTACTTAATGGTGTTCTAGTTCTTTTTTATGGCACCGAGTAACATATCCATGCTTGTTTTTCTCACCTTGACGGGGAATGAGGAGATAGAGGAGGAGAATAAAATCAAGGAAGAGCACATGAAAAGGGACTGGCTCTTTTCAGACTTACATCTTCGAAATTTTTCTTTTCTTGACTGTTTTTAGATAATGATCTATGAAATACTGCTTCGCAGCAGACGACTGCAACCGTACTAAAATAACTAGACCAGTCTCTGAGATTCCTACAAAACCCCCATCTCCATTCACTGTCCATTCATTGCTGGGGACATTACTGGTCCAAGGCAGCAATTTGCCAAGCAGAAGCAAGCAAAGGAACTATACCTCTTTGCTGCTGTACAAAAAACCCCAAAAAGCAAACAAACAAAAAACACCCAAATGTCTGCTTTGGAGAAGAACCTATTCAAACTTTACAAGAAATGAGAAAAGTCAGGAAATTGCACTTCGGCAAAATCACAACGCACACTCTGGGCTCAAGGCTAAGTGCAAACGTGGCTGTGCTTAAGCCTTGATCTTTTTATCTAACCGAGGCCCGCAAGCTGTTTTTTGCTGTGGGTACTGTGGTTACTTGGTTACTGCGAGGATTAAAGGAGACCATGCCTTAGACAGCAAAACTCAGAAATTGGTGCAACGGTTATTATTGGGCTCTGCCTGGAGAGGCACTCGGTTTAATGTCCTGCTCTGGAAGGGCTTGGATGGGTGTGTGTGTCCGGGGCTGGGGTGGGGGGTGGGGGTGTCAGAACAATAGTTCACCTCATCTAAACAAACAAAACCAAGACTGCTCGCCACGGGCGGTGCGCACGCGGGTCCCCTTCCGTGAGGTTCGCGCGCAAACTCTGCGACCCGGCCCCGCAGGGAGGCGAGGGCCGAGGAGACGGCGGCGGCCTTCCACCTGGGGAAGGGCCCCGGTTTGGCGCCCTGCTCCTCTCGCGCCTTCTGACCTTTGGGTGGGTGCCCATCCAGGCGTCCTCCGGGGCCCATGAGTGGGCGCCGCCGCCGCCGCCGCCGCCGCCGCCGCCACCGCCGAGAACGCCGCCCGGGCCCAGACCGCTGCAACCCGGGGTGGGCTCGGAATCGCCGCGCTCCGCCATGCCGGGCAGGGCGGCGAGCGGGTGGTGCCGGACGAGCCCGTGTTGCACCGCGGCCCGCGCCCGGCCAGAAGCAGGGGCACGCGCGTCCGGGTTCCGCTGCCCCCGCGCGCGCCGCCTGCGTGCCGAGGGCCACACACACCCGGAGGAAAGCGAGAGGAGCTCCTCCCTCTGGCAGACATAGCTCGAACCTGAGCCCACACGCTCCAGTGTCGCTCGGCGTTTATTCACATCTGGGCGGACACCAGGGGGAAAAAAGTTCGAGTACCCTTAGCTCAGAAGCCCTCAATGCTCCTCCCATCGGTGCTGTTTGCAGCCCCGTTGAGAGAGTGGGAAATACTGAAGGCCTCTGGGCCGTCAGCCTTGACTCCGGGTCTCCAGTTCCTGGTAACAAGAAAAGCCTCGTTCCGTTCCCTGTCAGGTGAGTTTTCAAGTGTGGAAGTCGATGAGATCTCTGTAGAAGAAAGTGGAAAGAAGAAAGACCAGACTGCCGAGAACCATGTTTTTAGGCCGGACCCACGTTTCAGGATTAGAGGAGAAAGAGTAAACACGACTTATTGAATGAGCGAGCGGTCAGAAAAGTAAGATGCAAACCCTCGTGAGCAGGTGACCTGGAAACCAAGGAGGCGGAGTTTCAGAGAGGCAGAGTAGGACATTTGAAGCATTTATGCAATAGAATCCAGAACCTCTACAACTTATTCATAAAATCCAAGCTATGATTCAAAATGTCGAGAAAATGGGTCATATTTTTTTTTAGTTTGACCCTGAAACCGACCGATTAGGATTTTGAACTATTTTAACTCTCCTCAATAAAGTAAAACAAAACATGTTTTGAGTAGTTGAAAATCTCAGGAGACAAAAATCTCATGAGAGAAAAAGAAAAAAGAGCAAACGGAAATTCTGAAAGATTAAAATTTCAGAAATAAAAAAACAAGCTTCACTGGGTGGATTTAACAGCCAAATGGAAATTACAGAGGAAAAATTAAGTGAATTTGAAGGTAGAGTAATCAAGAAATCATCCAAGATAAACAACAAACAGAAAAATCATTTTAAAAAATGGATAGAACCTCAGAGACCTGCTGCATGACATCAAACAATCCAACATACATGTAAATGGAATACCAGAAGGAGAAAAGAAAGACAACGGGGTAGGAAAAAAAATTGAAGAAATAAAAAATTGCCCCAGATTTGATGAAAGAGAAACTTGCAGGTACAAAATGCTACATGAATAACAAGCAAAAGAAACATGGCGAAGTCCCCACTGAAGTCAACTTGTTAAAAGCCACATGAAAAGTTTGAATGCATGGGGGGGGGGAGGAAGTATGGGAGGGAAAAAGAAAAAAGAAAGCAGTGCCTTCCATACAGGGAAAGGAAGTGCATCTATTCTTGATGTGAGGGAAAACCACACATGAAGATTCGTGAATTGCCCCAGAATGTATTTCATTTGAATGAAGCCGTTAAACTTGATTTCCACAAAGCAGCTGCTAACCCCCAAAGAAGCAAAGGACACTGAAATTAGTAGGCTCCCTGAAGCACTGAACAGTGACACTAATTCAAGTAATTAGAAGTAAATAAATCTCTCTGACTCCTAAAGTTCCCAATGAGTTCCAATGATGGTATTTATAGAAGCATTAACATTTTGTTCCTAATATGAGTAGAGGGGAAATTTTATAAATCAGTAAGGAGATCCAGTGGAATTAGGTACATGTGAACAAGGCTCAAACATCTTCAGGGGAAGATGTTTCCCTTCGGCTTAAGCTTAAGGGAAGAGGGGAGTTAAGGAATCCAGAAGGATGCAGAAAGAACCGCAGACTAAAAAAGCAACAGGCTAATGCTACCCTTTGGCAAATAAATGAAGTTCTATACCTTAGAAAAAGCATGATACATTTAAGCATGATTCTGACTTTTAATGTCATTGTCCAGTACAAAGAGTTGAAGACTGAAAGTGGACAGTATCTTGGCTTCCATTTTAAACAATGAAAACATAAATAATTCTTGGTGATTGGGAGTGCCTAAGACAGAAACCAAAGGATTTGGGGAAACTTAAACTTAGTGTTTAAAGTATAGACTCAAAATGAATATTGTGGCCATCTAGAGTGAAATCCACCAGAGAACTGGTTAGAGTTTTGGCTTCTCACAGACTGAAGAATTTCTCCTTTTATAAATGCTTCAATAGTTCACTATTTTAGAGAAATTAAGTGGTTAGGAAGAAGCTAGGTAAATAACAACAAATAAAATTCTTGAGTATACTGAATGAGATAAAAATTCAATGTAATCTGGCACTTGCTCTACTGATTTCCCATTTTGATATCTGAGCCAGACCATTTTATTCCTATTTAAAAAAAAAGCCTTTAATGTCTAGGCAGAAACATTTTAATTCAACTAGAGTCTCAAGGGAAAAAATGAACTTTGAATTGTGATGTGAATTTTTAGTGTTTTAAAAAGAAAAAGCTTCTTACACAGCATCGTATAAGACAATGATCTCAAGCTGAAAAATGGAGGCTAGCATTCTGGATCAGCTTTTAATACACTGGTTGTAAGAATGCTCATACATATTTTGTTCCTTCTTTTGCACATAAAGCATACAATTTTCCCATTCTCTGTATTTTGAGGAGAATATGTGAGATGTTTATACCTTTAGTAAAATATTTAGAATGTTATATTTTATCATTCATGTGTATGAGCATATATGAGGAACTGCTATTATATAGAAAAGAATTTAGGATGATCCAAAATATTATCCCCAGTTTCTCATAAATTTAAGAGTACAATCTAAACCCCTCACTTACAAAATCAGGATATAGTATATTTATTTTTAAAATACCGCTTCCATTTGGAACAAAAACAACAATAAAAATAAGGTACCAAGGATAAAGAGGAGCAACACTTTATAAGTGTTATTGAAGATCATTAGAGAAGACCTAAATAAATGGACAGACATACTATACTTCTGGAGAGAAAAATTCAGTATTGTAAAGGTGGTAATTCCCCCTAAATTAGTCTATAAATTCTAACAACTCTAATCACAATTCCAACAGGGATTTCCCTAATATCTGATAAGCTGATTCTGAAATGTGGGCATAAAGGGGTCAATAATAATGAAGACCCTTCTGATGAACAAGTAGAGGGAACTTATTATAAAGGCCTATAATTAAGAGTATGCGATATTGGTAGAGATATGTGATAGATAAACCAATGGAACCAAATACAGAGTCATACAAATATGGACAGAGATGATGTTGTAGATGTGGGGAGAAGTTGAAGAAATATATATATATATATATATATATTTGGATTCCTAATTGCACTATAAACAAAATCAATTCCGGATATCTTAAAGGCTTAAAGTGAAATCCAAGTAAGTGAAGATTTTAGGAGGAAATGTAAAAGAATTTTTACAAACCCCCAAGATAGAAAAGGATTTCCTAAGTAAAAAACAAAAAATACCAACTATATGAAAAACGTTTGCTACATTTGACTATATTTCAATTAAGAATTTCTGACACAAAGATAGTGTGGGGGAAAAAAGCCATCGACTTGGAGAAGGCATCTGTGATACATAAGTGAAAGAAAGGATTCACATCCAGAATATATAAAGAACTCCTAAAAACCAATTAAGAAATGAAACAAAACACTCTATAGAAAAAAAATGAGAATAAATTTAAAAAGGATATAAATGGCTAGCAAACATGAATTGGTACTCAACTATAATGGTGGAAGGAGAAAATGTAAATTGAGACAGGAGGATACCATAAAATACTCATGAGATTGGTAACAAAAGCCAAGAGTTGGCCAAAATGTAGAGCAAAGGAAAGATGCACAAATCCTATGATTTGGTGATCCTATGCCCTCATACGTAGCCTAGAGTGGTATTTTTCAAATGGAGGGGCAGGATCCTTAGAGGTTGTGAAATAAATTGAGTGACTTGGGCCCAGTTTTTTTTTTTTAAGATTTTATTTATTTATTTGAGAGAGAGAGAGAATGAGAGATAGAGAGCATGAGAGGGAAGAGGGTCAGAGGGAGAAGCAGACTCCCTGCTGAGCAGGGAGCCCGATGTGGGACTCGATCCCGGGACTCCAGGATCATGACCTGAGCCGAAGGCAGTCGCTTAACCAACTGAGCCACCCAGGCGCCCTGGGCCCAGTTTTTAAAAAAGAATTATTTGAAATAGAAGAGAAAGTATCAGTGTACATTGCATGTGGTTAGAATAACTAAGTATTGCTTTAGGAACACTTTGTTTCAGTTATATATTTCTACTATACCATGATATCCAGTGGATTTCTCCCTGAAGGTTATGGTAAAAAAAATTATCTTCTGTGGACCAGGAGACTTTACAAGAATATTTATGGAAGTATTCGTTGGAATAGAAAAAACTAAGACAACCCAAATATCTATCGAAGTAGAATAGATACATCTGTTATTGTGTAATCATATAACATATTACTGTGTGAAAATAATGAGCCCTAGCTTCAGTCAAGAACTTGGATGAATATCAAAAAACCCTGATGTACAGTCAAAAATATGAATCACAGAATAATATATAAAATATGATTTGATTTACATAAAATTCAAATACAACTTGTACATGGATGTTCCCAGCAGCATTATTCGTGATAACCCAAAAGCAGAAACAACCCAAAGGTCCATTATTTGATGAATATATAAATAAAATGTAGTTTGTCCATACGATGGAATATCATTCAGCAAGGAAAAGGAATGAAGTACTGATATGTGTGTTAGAACATGGATGGACCTTGAAAACAAATGCTAAGAATAATGTTTTCATTAATAGAAGACAGTCACAAAGGACCGCATGTTATATAATTCCATTTATATGAAATGTCTAGAATAGGCAAATCTATAGGGACAGAGTAGAGTAGCTGTTTCCTAGGGCTAGGGTTAGCTGTTCCTAGAGCTAGGAAATGGGGATTGACTGCTAATAAATATGAGATTTCTTTTGGTGGTGATGAAAATGTTCTAAAATTAATGATGATGATGTTGCATAACTCTGTAAGTACACTAAAAGCCAT